ATGAAGGAAGTCCAGGGGAAATCGATTTTGGTTCGAGTCATCGGGAGTCGACTGTCCCTTGAAGATTTTGCGCGTATTCTAAAAAAAAAAAAAGACACGGTGGAAAGCTTCATGTTGCTTTTGTCACCAGAAAGGTATTATGGTTATTTATACTGAAGAGGGTTAAGCCCTCTCCCGATCGAAAAGTGATAAAATTTATTACATTTGATAACTTGTTCCCACCACTAGGACATTCTTGCTAAAACCCGTTGTAGAATGACGACGGCTGTCATGTTTTCCCGCCAAAATGAAGCTGACTCACGCAGCGCAATACTTAGTATTGAGATAACCTCATACTCGTAGTCCCCCTTTTCCTCGAATCTAAAGCTCTCTAACGTAACGAGAGAAGCGCGGGAAAGCGGAGGGTGATGGATTGTACGCGCTCCCTTCAGTCACGCGCGGCGTGAATACCAGGACTCTATACCACACCAAGTTCTAGTCTTACATTAAGACGTTTTTAAAAGAAAGAGAAAAAAGGAATTGGAATGGAAAATATGGCGAGTTAACAAAGTGAGCATCCTTTCTCTACCTCTCTCTCTCTTTTTTTTTTTACTCGGCATAGAACATCTGTGAGCAAAAACCATAGACGGACGTAGTATGTGTTCTCAAATTTGAACGGTCCCCGGAAGTCCCCACAAAGACTAAACGAAAAAAAAAAAAACAATGTATTGCTAATACAATAAAAAATACAATCTAGCTACCGCTGCATTGAACCGAAAGGGCTCCCCCGCTCGAATAAGGAAGAAGGCACTTACTCGAGGGTGGCCCGCTTTCGGTTCAATGCAGCAGAAGGGTATTGATTTTTTACTTCAAAGTGCGAAGGTCAGTTGAAGGCTGCGCTCTTTCGATTGAACGCAATAGAATATTGTGTTTTTCGAAAGAGCGCTTATTTATGTCCCACTTAAATTGAGGGCGGCGATCTTTCCAGAATATACGGTTTTGATAGCGTTCGATGGCTTTATTACATTTGTGACTTCAACAGAGTACAACGTATATTTGCAAGCTCATGCTTTAATACTACAGCTTATAATAGCGATCCAATTATAGATAATATATACATACGCTAAAAAAAAAAAAAGAAAATTTAATAATTTTTTGAATCAAAATGTTAACAAGACAAAGCGAGCAAGGTCCGCAACATTCACAAAAGGGCGATGTTACTCAAGACGATTGAGGACAATTTTCAGCGGAACATAGCGTTGCAATTGTTTCGAATGGTTGCAACATTGTTCCGACATTGCAACGTTGCATTAGTCGCTAACAATCGTCGATGCAAATCGTCCCTTGAAGACAAGCAAGGAAGGTACGTTTATCGGACGCGCTTGTATTCCCTTGTGTCTTTCCTCCCTTCCTGCTCCTCCAAAGTTTCATAATTTCGCTCCCAATATCGTGCATCCTCAAAGCACCACTACATTTGTGATAAACAGGTTAAAACCGGTCAATTAAAGGCCATGCATCAAAATCTATTGTTTCTATGGTGTTAAAAATACAATAAAAGAAACGATATTGAGAATCCACCTCATTTTGTTCATAAAAGACGAAAAGAGATAAAGAGATAAAGACGAAAAGCTATGACATCATCGACGTTAATGTAGTACGTTGATGCTCTTATTGGGGAGATTCCTGCCCAAAGAAAGGTTAATTCGGTGCGCCCTGTACTACTTTTCTAACTGGATAAAAGCCTTGACCCCGCATAGACAATTGGAACTGACATAAATTACTGGGAAGGGGCACTCAAGAAAGTTATATTCGGGGAGGCTCCAACGAGGCGGTTCAACCCCTTACCCCTTTACGTGCCATTTTTGGGATAAAAGGTATCCCTTTCACGTAAATTACTCTGTCGTATACTTCGATATAAGGAATACTATGTTGGCATTAAATAAACTTCTAGCGATGTAAATTTGGTGAAATGACATTGCTAGAGGAAATCGTTGGTCCTAAGATATCTATGTCAGTGGCCTTTGTTGGCGAGGCGCCCCATATTAGAGACCTTTAGATTCAAGGACGAGGACGACTACGAGTACGAGATTTGACTTTAAGTTTTTTCGCGTATCCTGAAAATATTGACTCCCGGGAAAGCTTCAGTTTACCAGTTTTCACCAGAAAAGTTAGCACTGTTTCCTTTAGTGAAGGAGGTTACACCCTCTCCCGATCGCAAAATGATAAAACTTCTGGCATTTGATAACTTGTTTCTGCCACTTCGACATTCTCGCTAAAACTCGTAGTAGAATGACGACGGCTACCACGTTTTCCCGCCAAAATGACGCTGGTTCACGCGCGGGCACTACTTAGTACTGAGAAAATCTCCTACTCGTTGTCGTACTCGTCTCAGAATCTAAAGGTCTTTATTAGGTCCACTCATACAGCGTACTGTTGATATTGAACTTGGGAGAATTATTTACGTGATTTGCAACTACCAAGTAAGTATGCCCTTTGTATTGAAATGATGTCATATCAAAAGCTCCCTGAGTTGAAATTTCTTGATATTCAATGAACTGTCCCTGAAAAGCCTGATATATCACTGACTTGGTGTGGTGCCCATCATTGTCACCAAAGCTATTAGACACGCCCAGAAACGTTTGACCGCACATGAAAAAGGGATACAAGCCGGATGCTCCACGAGTAGGAATCGACTGAAATGGAACAAAATGACCGCCATTCCACTTGTAAATGGGAGAATTTATATTGTGTTGCACACCGTGCCTGTAGTTTGCAAAGGCGAGAAAAGTAGAACCGTTGTCACTGAACGACTTCACATCTCGGGCTCCATATGTCTGGAAAGACTGCAATTTGACAAATTGCTGCCCTGACCACTTGAACACAGCTGACTGAACTGAATACTGCTTTTCTGTGGTAAAGTGGTTTGCAAAGGCAATGAAAGTTTCATTGCTGATCGTAAAAGTCTCACTACCATAAGCCCCCTCGGTTGCTATCTCTTGAATCTTTTCAAATTTACTACTGTTCAATTTGTAGATGAATGAGTTGATATTGTGCGAAGAGCCAGTATTAAAATTTGAAATGGCAAGAAACTGCTCATTTATGATTTCAAAGAAGTTAAAGCTGTGTGCTCCAAATGTTTCAATGTTCTGAAAGACGGTAAATTGTTCTTGACTCAGACTCCACTGGTAAATGACTGAATTCAGTCGGTAAGAAGTTCCATCATAATTATTTGCGACAGCAAGGTAATGTTCATCAGCAATTTCAAAATATTCCATGTCGAAGGCTCCACGTGTGCCTATAGCCTGGTAAAGGAAAAAAATTCCAGTTGAGTCGTTCTGCTTGTAGATAAAAGAGTCTGTAATGTGTCCTTGGATATCACTTTTGTGGTTTGCGAAGGCGAGAAACCGGTTTCCATTGATAGTAAAGTGTTCCACAGCAAGCCCTCCTCTGGTTGGTAGATCTTGGATTTTCTCAAAGTGGAGAAATTTTTGTGAACAGTCTTGGAAGAAAATAAATGATTGTGGGTTAATAAAGGATTCACTATAACCAACGCAATGAAGTTGGGTAACCCGCCTGTCCATATAATCTCTCATTTCAATTTGATCACGTTTACATGATAGGTGGGGTATATGAGAGACTAGGGACTTTAAGATAGGATGACTACGGACTACGACTGTCACTACGACTACGGTTAAACATGCTACTGCGCATGATCAGAACCACGTAACTGTTCATTTTTCCCGCGTAGACCTGCGGCTACTGTGAGTTGTTGAGCTGTTTCGCGTAGTTGCGACTACGGAGAACGTCAGTCTTGCTCGCATTTTGCCGTCTCGGTAATTCTAGCATCTCGTCTTTTCGTAAAAACGTTTTCAATTCACCTGGTTTAAGTTAGAGGGAAGCGAAATATGTAAGTTGTGTCCTATTTCTGCTCAGATTTACGCTTTTAATATATTCGAACCCCTTTCAGCTGTGAGTACATTTTTATCTAAAACTAAGCTTTATATATTTAAAAAAAGGTTAGCTGTCTATACGCAGAAGTCAGATTGACGGCCGAGAACAGAAATCATGCAGGTCAGTTTACTTTCGCTTCGTACTTGAAAAGTTTCAATGTTTGTTGGAAATGATTAGTCTGTCTTTCTACTTGTGTGACCTTTGTTTATGCCAGTTTTTATATCGCATTTGCTGAATGAAAATGTTATAAACATCTTTGAGATAATCGAAATTGAAACTCGGCATTTCGATACTTCAAATTACATCAGTAATCGGAGAAGTCCATCTTCTAAATCTAATAAATGAGCTATTACTATTTCTGTTTATTTCTTTAAAATTTGACATAAGTTTTCATAGGCGAAAAAACAAAAACTGTGTAACCAAAACTTTGTTCACCAATTTCACACCACGTAATTGCTTCCCCAAGTATGAAAGAATTTGTTCATTATTCTAAAGATAAGACCACATGCAAAATACTTGCATTTTTGTGAACTGAACATGAAAACTGAAACATGAAAATGTTTGCGTGTTGTTTCCCTCTCCGCCTCTTCTCTCGTAGCCATCTGTCTGTACCACAATCTTAAGGTTCTATATTTGCACGACTCAACCCATTGCTACAAACAAAGGACAACGCTCGTCCAGCCGTAGTTCGTAGTCCGTAGTCGCCGTATCCTAAAGTTCCTATTTTATGGACAGGCGGGTTACCCCACTTAAGCGGTTTACCCCACCTATCAGGGCTCCCCCATCTCCATGTAAACAGCTGGCTACCCTAAAGAACGGTAGAGCGGGGGGTCTTGGGGGGAAACATTACCTCCCCCTCAACTTTTTCCGAAGAAAAGACTCCTATGATGAATGTCTCTTTGGCCTTTCCATCGTAAGTCACTAGGTGAGTCCCTCCACTTGGAAAAAATAGGTCCCTCGTTCTTGTCATCAAGCTTTCTTGAGAGGAGGAAAGAGGTGAGGAGGGGGGGGGGGGGGGGGGGGGGGGGGGTGTCCACTGATTGTCGTCGGAAAAATGTAACAAATAAAACTTTACCTGAACAATTTCTCCCGCTTCCAGTGAGACCCGGTTTACAGATGCAATCATAGTGTCCAGCGGTATTAACGCAAGTTGCATTTTGATGGCAATCATGGCTGCCGCTGCTGCATTCATCGATATCTGATCGGCGAGTAACAAAAGGAAAACAAGGAAAAAGTAAATCCAGTAGTTTCAAGATGGAGGCAAACGTGCAGATTATGGAATAAAAGGTATTTTTTACCCTGACACAGATGACCATTTCCTGTGAATCCTGTTTGACAGCTGCAATTAAAATGTCCAGCGGTATTTACACAAGTTGCATTTTGATGGCAATCATGGCTTCCGATGCTGCATTCATCGATATCTGAATAATGTGAAGAGCAAAAAAAGTTAATCTGATACTTTTCACATCAAAGTAAACGTTTTGTTCATAAAATAAAAGGAAATTTAATTCACTATTGCACACTTGAGCACACGTGGTTGTTTCCCGTGAACCGTTGCTGATACGGCCTGGAATTAAAATGTCCGAATGTTTTTTGTGCAGATTGCAGTTTGGTGGCAATCATGGCCACCGCAGCTTGACGCCGTCTATGAAATAAAAAATCAAAAGGGTACCAAAGTTAATTTATACTGGGTCACATCCAGCTTTTCCAGTTAACCTGAGAAACTAGTTGTAATTGTTTTTGACCTGCTGCGGCTTCGTGCAAGTTGCATTTTATTGAAATCATTTACTTTTGTTGTGGCCTTTACCAGAAGACTATAGGCGAAGTTAAATGATAAAATTCCCACCCTATAGCCCGGTAAAGGAAAAAATTTCCAGTTGAATCGTTCTGCTTGTAGATGAGAGTCTGTAGTATGGCCTTCGATATCACTTTGGTAGTTGGCGAAGGTGAGAAACCGATTTGCATTGATAGTGAAGTATTCGACAGCATACACTCCTCTGGTTGGTAGATCTTGTATTTTTTCAAAGTAGAGAAATTTTTGTGAACAGTCTTGCATGAAAAATAAATGATTGTGGGTTAATAAAGGATTCACTACAACCAACTCAATGTAGTGGGGTAACCCGCCTGTCCATATAATCTCTTATTTCAACTTGATCACGTTTACATGATGGGTAGGGTGACCATATGCGAGATTATATGGTCAGGCGGGCGAATCCCACCAAAGCGAGTTTTCACACCTATCTGAGGTCCCCCACTCTTCATGTAAACAGTTGGTTACCCTAAAGAACGGTAGAGCCGTGGGTCTTGGGAGGAAGCGTTAGCTCCCCCTCCACTTTTTCTGAAGAAAAGACTAGTACTATGAAGAGTGTCTCTTCGGCCTTTCCATCGTAGGGTCACTAGGCGAATCTCTCCTCTTGGAAAAAAGAATGTCCCTCGTTCTTGTCATCAAGCTTTCTTGAGAGGATGAAGGAGGTTGGTGGGGGAGTGGGGGACTCCCTCGGTTGTCGTTTGACAAATGAAAAAAAATTATTGCTTCACCTGAACAATTTCTCCCGTCTCCAGTGAGACCCGGTTTACAGATGCAATCATAGTGTCCAGCGGTATTTACGCAAGTTGCATTTTGATGGCAATCATGGTTGCCGCTGCTGCATTCATCGATATCTGATCGGCGAGTAACAAAAGGAAAACAAGGAAAAAGTAAATCCAGTAGTTTCAAGATGGAGGCAAACGTGCAGATTATGGAATAAAAGGTATTTTTTACCCTGACACAGATGACCATTTCCTGTGAATCCTGTTTGACAGCTGCAAGTAAAATGTCCAGCGGTATTTACACATTTTGCATTTTGATGGCAATCATGGATTCCGATACTGCATTCATCGATATCTAAATGACATGAAGAGCAAAAAAGTTAACCCGATACTTTTTACGTCAAAGTAAACGTGTTGTTGATTGCACACTTGGTCGTTACCTGTGAACCATTGCTGATGCGGCCCGTAATTTCAATACCGGAAGAGTTTTTGTACAAATTACAGTTTGGAGGCAATCATGGCCTCCGCTGCTTGACGCCGTTCAGTTTATCAAATCAAAAGGACACAAAAGGTAATTTATACTGGGGAACATCAAGCTTTTCCAGTTAACCTTGGAAGCTAGTTGTTATTGTTTTGACCTGCGCCTTCGTGCAATTTGTATTTTATTGGAAATCATTGCTGTCGTTGTTGTATTTACTAGAAGAAGACTCAACAGGCGAAGTTAAATGTTAAAATTCCCACCCTACAAACTGATTAGCCTGTTTTGTTTCCCCTTCAGTGGAGTGTTTAATGGCTTTGTTATTCATTGCATATTTTTACCAGCAATATGACCGGTCACAATTAGTTTCTCCACTATACCTGTTTCACAGTGTTCTCCTGTGTATCCCGATGTACATACACAAAGATACTTTTTGTTAGTAAACCCAAGGAGACATTTGGCGTTGTTCCGGCAAGGATTGCTGCAGCATAGATTCTATGAGAAGAGAACACGTTTTCTCTTAGGGTAGCAATGAATTGGCTCCAACGAGAGAGAAAATAGAAGTAGTAAAGCCAAAATGTCTGGGAGATAGACTGTTATTGCGGGAATACCACACAACTTGCGTCACCGCCGGCTTTGCGAGCCCGATGCTTTTCAGGCTGAAAGAGTAGTGTGCGTAGTCGCCCACGCAGACTTGCTTTGGGTTTTGACAAGCGTTCTTCTTGTGGGGAAGAAACGCGTGACGAAGCCCTTAGAAGGTTTGTCTTGGACGCTACAGTGTGTGTTCTGTTTTTTGTCGCCTGCCGGAAGGAAGGAGACAAGGCAACCGATTAACGTCTCCGCCTAATGGCGCGATTATTTGAGCTAAGGTGAGGTCTGTCCCGCAGCTGCTTTGTAGTATAATCTTCTGACCAGTTTTTGCTGAGTTCTTGTTTGGTGTCTCGGCCTGGGTTTAAAACAACTGGGCAAAAGAACGCTTGAACAACTATGTCATAAGGATACGGTAAATTTCCGAAAAAACGCACCATGTATAAGCCCCTCCAGAAGCCCCTCAAACTCGTAACGCATAATAAAACCTCCGTTAAAGCGCCCCTCCGGAAATTGACGAAATTCGGTTTGGCAGCTTGCGTTATTTTATTTAGCTGACATCTTCATAAGTAATATTAAAACTAAATTTAATAGTTCTTTACAGAATGGTTTCAAATACAAAGAGAATTCATAAATCCTTTTATAGAAATTTTGCTATAATAGCTAAACAAATGCCAAGAAAAGTTTAATTTGTCGGCAAGAAAACATGACATTTGCGTGCCAAATTTTGTCGTTGGCAACAGTAAATGAGTTTTTAAAAAACCCATCATTTTAATTTTGTGCTCAATGATCTCATTGCTTTCGTTTATACTAAAACAATTATTTACCTCAGTGTCGGCGGCCATTGGGGGATATTTACCACCACTCACCACCTCCACTTTAGTGAATAATTGTTATATATTAGCAAAACAACAACTTTGCACATCACTCTTTCAGTTTTGTACGTTTTTTAGCCGTCGTTGCACGACTACAACGTGAATGTGCCTCATTCAGTCACGTTTTCTCGAGGACGGGAACACAAGACAACTTTTTTTCTCGAACTTTCATACAGTCCTTTAGAATTCAACTCCGAAGAAATTTGCCAACATTTGACGAGTTAGACGAGATGGAAGAAGCGCGATTTCACTTTTTAAGTGACGTTTTCGTATCCGTCGCCGTCGTTGTTGCTTAAGTATGGCGTTCCGTTGCGGACAAAATTATACCGATGGTAAAAACATGTTGAAAACATAATACTTAAGTCAAACTTGTAAAATACACCGAATGCAATAAAAAATATGAGTCGAGATTTGCACTGATATATATGTTCAGGAACAAAAAAAAATACTAAGCAAATGTCATGACTTCAAACACGAGTCGAAATTTTGAAATTTGAGTCGAAAAATATGCGAGTCGAGTTGAAAAAAAAAAACTTGAGTCGAGAAAGAGAGAACGCTGACCAGTTGTGTTATCAATCAATGTCTTCACTTCACCGAGACGAGGCTTCGATCCAAAGTAGTGGTTAGTTGGCTACCAAATATTGCAGAGTTTTTCTTCTCCCTTGCTAGACTTATCGAGGACTTAGAAAGGCAGCTTAGTTCAGCTTCATATGAAAGTTCAGAATTCTTATTTCGGCACTTTGACGAGTACAAAAGGACACTTGCAACTCTGTCGTCAAGATTTTGTGAGACTTACGGTTGTTGAGAAATAGGGAAGTTCACCCTTTCTACGTTAAATCGGACTGGAACCCACCGGTTCAACTATTAGAAGCCCTCGAGAGAGGTTAAATCACAACTGGCAGAGATACAAATAACAAAGCCAAAACACAACCTGTCACGCAAGGACCGACAAGCATTAAAAGAATTACAGCAAAACACTGGCGCGCGGCATCGACATCATCAAGCGGTCAAGGGAATCACTACAGTAGACATGAACCTGACATGTTTTTAACTCGAACTCCCCGATAAACTCGAATTAAGTCCCATTCCCCGCTTTTCAGTCATTTTTACTCGGCTAATTCGAATAACTCCAACTAAATTTCCTTTCCCTTCATCAAAATTTCCCTGAAATTTACCCGCGGCCGCTAACTCGAATTCTGGTTCTTGTAATTCCACTCGGATGTCATTTCATTAGTTCCTCTTGTTGTAGAATCGGTAAAAAACACTAAAACCAACACTACAGCAATTTAATATTAATTGTTGCAACGAACAGATCAAGTTTTTTCATAAAAAGGCATAATCATGTTAACGTTTCTGATGAAATTGGTAAAAAAACTGCGCTGTCAGACAGTATACACTGAAGCAATAACTCGGACCCATGCTTACTAGAACTGTTTTTAGTTAACTAACGCACAAAGGAATCAAGGAGAATTTCCTCTTTTGTTAACACACGGTCTCACCCCAGTACAGATGTGAGGCCTGTTAATTACCCCCTTTCTGTTGGACAATCACACCCGAAGATTATTGGTCGTAAGTTATAGTTGGTTTGTAAATTTTTGTAATAGTGTATAACTCTGGTATTCTAGGTGGATTGGGTGTTTGAGATTTGCCATTATCTCGTCATTTCATCATTATGTTTTCCGTAATTAATTAGGCGCTTGACCTTGCTTTAAGTTTCTTACAACATTGGTTCAACGAGAGGTTTGTAGTTATGTTCGTCGTCGATTTGTATTTGACCTTCTCTTATTTTGTCAGTTTTGTTCGTGTCTACTGTAGTGATTCCCTTGTCCGCTTGATGTCGATGCCGCGCGCCAGTATTTTGCTGTAATTCTTTTAATGCTTGTCGGTCCTTGCGTGACAGGTTATGTGTTGGCTTTGTTATTTGTATCATAAGAATTCTCAACTGTCATATGAAGCTGAACTAAGCTGGCTTTCCAAATCCTCGATAAGTCTAGCAAGGGAGAAGAAAAACTCTGCAATATTTGGTAGCCAACAAACCACTACTTTGGATCGAAACCTCGTCTCGGTGAAGTGAAGACATCGATTGATATCACAACTGGTCAGCGTTCTCTCTTTCTCGACTCGAGTTTTTTTTTTTTCAAATCGACTCGCATATTTTTTTCGACTCAAATTTCAAAATTTTGACTCGTGTTTTTTTTTTTTCGTTGATGAACATATATTTTGCAAATCTCGACTCATGCTTTTTATTGCATTCGATGTACCTTACAAGTTTCGACTTAAGTGTTATGTTTTCAACATGTTTTTACTATCGGTATAATTTTGTCCGCAACGGAACGCCATACTTAAGCTCCCTAATTATAGTATTCTGGCGATTAATTTTTCTATGAATTCAGTTGACGTGAAAAAAAGTTTTAGCTTTTTAAAGTGATAGCAAATGGCTTGACATAGCCCCTTTAATAGCCGTTAAACTTATTATCATTGGATACAAATTTTCCTCCTTTTCATTGGCCGAAAGCCCACCACGTGACCTACAAATAACTGCCGACAAATAAAGGTCTGCTCATGTGCAATGTCGGCTAACTGTGTTTGGCTTTGCAAATAATATACACTGGTTCCCAGAGGCTTTTCATGCGCGGTTTCCGGTTTTGGCCGAAGATGTGTCGGCCTCCGGCCAACGAAGCTTCTCGTCGCACGCGATAAACAACACTCCGGTACCCGGGGTACAAAGAAAATTCTGCTCATGCGTAAACGAAACCATGGTTTTCTCCTTCTTGCGATCGCTCTTACGTGAGAAATGGCAGATCGCTCCGCTTCCCGAAGATATTAAAAAAACAAATTTGGTGATCGAATGATAAAACAATTATTGAACTCGGTTATCGCAAAATAGCGTTATTTGCCAGTGTCTCCTAGATCAAAATGAATAGGCCATTTCCGAGTTCCCCCGAGCCTCTGTATCAAAACGAGGGCTCAGCCTTTGATATGGCAATGATTTTTCATTCTCATGCAAAATTACTCATTGTCACAAGAAAAGTTGTACATTTGGCCTCATTTTGAAAGTGGGGGTTTTTGGAACTCGAAAGTGGCCTATTTTTTGCCTCAGCCTTCGGCTTGGCAAATAATTGATCTGCTCGCCACTGACAGATCACGATATTTTGCTCAACCTCGTCCATTAATTGTTAAATATCACCACACGTGCTAGCAAAAACAGCATCACGACACGACCTTGAACTCAATTACCTCTGCTCCTCTATATGTCCAGCCGTGTCTTGGTTGAAGATCTTCAGGGTGATGCCAATGATCAGAGTTACTTAACTCACATATCACTTTGTCGTTTATTGGTGGACCAACATTGATGGACACACATTCACTCTCCATGACGCATCGATGCTCGCACGATGCGTATATTCCAATTGAAAGATTTAAGAACACGTGGTCCTTGAAATAATATCCACTTTCTGGAGGTATAAATTGGACCCGTCGGCATCCACCTACAAAAATAATTCAATTCTTTGTTGTAGATTTGCCCCATGAAACTAACTGTAGTTAGATTGTCATGCCAGAACAAAGCCTAAAAAGACATAAGGATCAATCACCCTGATCCGGCCTGAGACAGAAAGGTACGATATTGCTTGCTTTTCTAAGGTGACCACTAAAGCTTTGGCATCGGGAACAAGCTTTCAGGAATCAAATGAATTAGGCGAGAGCAAAATTGCAGGCGAACTTTGATCCGGGTCAAGACGTGTGACCGTACGTCCGGGAACTTGAATAAAACGAGTGAGAGGTGTCTATCTGCCAATAGGCTGAGTTTTTCCGGGTTATTTGATGATATTTCGCCTGTGTTAAACGTGAGAAGACTATGCGTGGTTGTGGACAGTCGTATCAGTGCTGCGAAAGTGCGTGATTGTGTGATTTCCGCATGGTGTTGACAGGCAGAACTCAGGTATGTGGTGGCATGGTTGAGGTGTTGCACCAAAATATTCTGTGCCAGCCATAAAAACGTTTCGTCGGTGTTAATTAGCTTAGCTGATTTTGCCTTGAAAAACCAATTCTCGACTCAGGAACATTGGATCTTGGTTTATTTTTAGCGGACTCTTGGTTTTGAACCATTTAGGCCGGTTTCGGCAGATAAGAAGGTGGTGATGTTTCAATCAGTTTGTTGTCTGTTCCATGCGAAATCCTGTCATAAATCGGAACGCGAAAAAAAAGTAGTGTTTTGCTAGACTATTTAAGTTGATAAGTAAGCCTTAACCAGGCGCTTTTTGGCTGCAGTTCACGCAAGCTAAAAATTTCTAGACTGAAGTGACACCGGTTTCGGAGTCGGATTACGGAATAAATGTTCCAAAATTTGCATCATTTTAAATTTGGTGTCGTTGAAATGCTTCTAGGGACCACTAACTTACTACCCGACGTCAGGTAAAGGCTTTTTATCGGCCTTTGAAGGATTATTCATTTTTTTAAGGTGCCAAGTAGTAGAATAAGTTGATTTTTCGCTAACTCGGTTTTCTGCAAAAATCCAGGTAAAAATTGCACATGAATCACAAAGAAGCAACTCTAAATTCGTTAAAAATCAGTGAAATGTCTCTTATTATTCCCTCATGCATGCATGTTCTTTGTCAGCAAGCTCATTTGGTAAAAAGAGCACTTTTCTAGGTATGATTATCCTCATATTCTTTGCATGTGCTCTAAGTCATTATGAAGAGAGGAGTGGCTACCATGTGACATTGAAATATCAGGCAAAACCCAGAAAAATGCCTGAAAAGTGTTTGCCACTTTAAAGTGCCACTCGAATCTACTTAATTTTGCTTTGCAAATAACATAATTGGGCTTTATAGGCACTTACTTCATTGAGATAATAATAGATAAATAGAAATGAATGAATCATTGTCAGTTGGTGCAAGTCATTTGGTGTTTCATTAAGAGGAGCCTTATACTGCGAGAAGGGACACGAAAAAGCTGGCCATGGTTAAAATGAAAACGTTTCAGCCAATTTGCCCCAGCCAAAACCTTGCTAAAATCATTTGACAATGTAACTATGGTGGTCAGTGTTTGCTATTGACTGTTGCAAAATAAAAAACAATTCTTTTAAAGGATGACTCCAGTTAATATTAGATGCTTTAATTCTTATGGGGACTGTTTTTTGTACACCCACAGCGTGTAAAAAGAATAGTCTTTTATATGTTAAAGATTATATGTTAAACGCAGTTGTTTCAGTTTCAACTTCATAACTGTTACTGAATCACTGACAAGAAAATGAAAAAAAGAAAGACAAAGCAGACTAATATGAGGGAAAGAAACGAGAAAAGAAAGACTTAAGCATTTAAACGAATCCGACAAAAAGAAAATTTTGCAAAATTAGATTTATCCTGATGCCCCAGTGTTCCTACAGTCTCGCCGCCAGACATGCCATAAAAAAATATTCATGATAGTCCCCTTTGTGTTAATTAGTTTGAGCATTAAAAATGCATCATAATATAGATATATACATCTACAAGATATTTTTAAAGCCAAATAATAGTGTCTTTTCAGTTGCAACTAGATCATAAATTTCCGGATGAAACGTATTTTCATCACCGTATTCCAGGGTTGAATTTCTCGTTGCTTAAAGTTGTCAAAATAGTGTGGGGTGGGATGACATATTAGGAAAAGCAATTACGTTTACAACAACTTATGGTAGTAAACCTCAGTGGCATAGTTGTGGCTTGGCACGTACAGATAAATTAAAAGGGAAATTTTGCGTTTTTGATCCATTCAATAAACGGTGTATAAAATTAGATTTTAAACGGTGATAGCAAGCAGCAAAGTAGAGGAAAAACTCTCCATCAGCTCCATCTTTTTGCTTGCAATTTTGAATATTCTCCCATCGTTACTTAGTATTTAATATTCAGAAATCATTTTTGGCGATAAACTCACAAATTACATGAAATTAGGGCGTAAAAGGTAGTATTGCTCTCACTTTATTCAAAAGCATGGTGACGGATCCGTAACTGAAATTAAACTTTTGTCCCGGTTCAAATTGAACCGCATTGAAGTGTATACATGTGCTAATTCCAGCTGGGTTGGACAAGATCTTAGTTAACCGGTCTAAACGGTTCTCCAGTTGAACACACTAATTTTTTGACAATGGAAAATGGGGCGAAGTTACATCTCAGTCAACCAAAAGCAAGCCTGGTCATGGTGGCTTATCAAGAGGTTCCAGGAAGACAAAATCATCGCTCAATGGTAGACCACCATCTTTTAATGGTTGTGTGAAGTTTTTATAGTATAATTTGTAACCAGCCTAAGAAAAATTTAATCCTTGAATTCCAAAGCTGTTGTAAAGAAAGACGAAACTAAAAAAAAAATGAGCCTGAGTGTTTCAAAGAATGAAGAGAAAATATGGAGAACCTTATGAGCACCTTCAAAAGGATTTTTTATTAAAAGAATTAACGGTAACAAAACATATGCTTGGCATTGTCACAGTCCCTTTCTCAACAACAACGAAAAAAAGCTTAATTTTTTGGTCAAATATGCTTTAACTTTAACAAAAAATAACTAAATATACAAAATAGAAGAGAAATCGAAAAGAAAAGAAAAAGGAAAATTTAAATCTAATTGATGTGAGTTAAAAGTTTCCACCATGAATGCAATTGAACGTTAAAAAGATAACTTACCTAATATTTAATGAGGCGACAAAACATCATGAAGCCTAAATGTTTTAATTAAAAATTGCATCCATAACCCATACCTTGATGAGCATCCGTGTTGTATTGCAACCAAACTCCCCAAAGCAGATACAAAGCCAGGAAATCCAGAACGGACAAGGAAAAGCTTATCATGCTTGAAATGGGACCTTGGAGAAGAATTGCTCAAAACCTCGCTGATGACCCACCAAGCACGATATGGGACAATCATACCTAAAGGGCTTAATTTTCCTTTATAAGATAGGTTAAATTATTCATGAGTGCCATTCCAAATGTCAGGGTGTTTTAGTTTTCCTATTGGTTGCTGGAAATACTAACGAAACATCTAATAAAGATTTTTCTTCAAAGCGTGGGTTTCAATTTTGTCAATCTTTTTTTACCTGCTTAGCAAAACAGCAGCGTTTTTATAAAAGCTAACAAGGCCGTGACAAGCATTTTTATGGTCTTTGTTGCTCTTGTTCGTTTTTATTTACTTCACAATTTCAATAAAGCAGACTTGTTGAAAAAGGAACGAGGAAAGAGAGAAGCATCCAGGAAAGACAGTTACAAGAGAAAAAGCTGTAAAACATCTCTAAAATATGTTATCAACATATTGCAACATTAATTCGGTAATAAGCCGGGCTGCAGTTAGGTATTGAAAAATGTTGACATTGGCTTTAGTTTTTTTGTGTTACCCAGTTTCATACATTAAAAATGCAATAGAATATAGATGTATCCTTAATGCTTAGGTCTAAATTCAACGCGGAGGAAACAGTCCAACCGGCTGAAGTCACGCCGATATTATAAATATTCAAGTCCTTTGTGTTAACCAGTTTGAAGCACTAAAAATGCAATAGAATTTAAGTGAATAAAATGTGTTCAGAACAAATTCAAGCGAAATAATGTATTAATTGACGTATTAGAAAAACAACTGCCTGCCAAACAACTTATTATAAATTTAGTGGCAGTTGCCCCCGCTTTGGCTTGGCACGACGGAATTGGAGGGCACAACTTACCGGAGGGTAAATTAATCATAAAGGGAGTCTTGTAAAACAACTTTTAGGCAGTAATTAGTTGCAAAAAAGATTAAAGTTACATCGAAATAGATATCTTAATATTTTTCTGGTATATAAGCATTTATTATGGGTTCGGTTGACCGTGCCTACGCGTAAAGTGATAGCATGCGCAGCTGAAAATCTCTTAACTCAGTTCTTTTCTACGGTTCTGGAAGTTCTTTCATCGCTATATTCAATAACACCTTTGGCGATTAACCCGAAAATAGGAGCTGGCCTGATTGGAACACATTTTTCCTGGTTAACTATGCTAGGCTGAGTAATATCCTCTAATGAGCTTTGTTTCCTCACCGCCAAGAGCCAAGAGCGCGACCCTGATTCTTAGCGCATGTTCAAGAGGGACGAGGTTTTGTACAAAAAAACAAATTTTTAAAATAAAACGATGTTGCGGAGAGACCTGCCTATCAAGCCAGCAATGTCAACCCGGTTCGTGTGAAGGAGCCGCTTAAGGGAGACGAAAAAAAAAATTAATAAAAATAACATAGAATAAAGCACACGAGCACCAATACTAATAATTTCCCGAGCCTTAATTTGGACAAAACGCAAGTGAAATTATTTACTTATTTCACAAGTATACCATTTGATTACCTATTAATATCACGGGTGACATTGTTTAAAAACAAAAGAAACTTGTCAGTACCCTTGATATTGAGAAATAAAAGTTCACGACGCTCTCATAAAATTGTTCAAATATCCTGATAATTTTACTCTCCTTCGACTTTTATGCAAGGATGCTGTTAATACTTACCTGATATCC